CCCAAAGTGCTGGGATTACAGGCGTGAGCCACCGCGCCCGGCCGCATTAAATAATACTGATAGCTACTACCTAGGTACCCACACCACGATAAACTTGTCAACCAAGATCATTTCCTTTAATCCTCCCTACAACTCTGCAAGGTGGGAATTATTCCCATTCTACAGGAAAGGACACAGGAGTCAGAGTTCAAGGCATTCCTCCAAGTCTCGAGTCAGCAGAACCAGGCTTCGTAACTGCGACGCCAAATCCGTGCTCTTAATCACTACTCACAGGCCACCATCCAGGGCTGTTTTGAGGATCCGTTATGCAGAAACGCCCATGGCTGTCTCTACGTACGACGATCCCCTCCAGTTTAGGGCAGTGGGGATTCGCAAGCTCATGAAGCTCTTTAATTCGTCCACCGCTACCTGCCGCCTTCCCTTTGTACCTAGGGCAGTATTCTTCACGCCTCCCAATCCATTTAAAAACAAGGCTTCCTTGGCAAACAACAACAAAGCATAAAACCCAAGCCCAAAACAACAGCACCAAAAATGCTGACTTCTGGTCTCTTAACCCACTTCTCGTCAATCACTCTCACCTCCAAACGCCAACGTCGGTTGTCATGGGGACACCGTCCCGGCTTCCGGAAGCCGGCTTTAAATTCCGGAAGTAAAGGGAGGACGCGGGCCCCGTCTGTGCCGTGCTGCCTGCTAGTCCCCGGCTTTCTCTTCCCGCTCAATGGCCAGTCCGGCCGCCATGTTGAAGCCTTCGCCGTTCGGGGCGCGGCCTGCTCCGGGCCCTCCCAGCTACGCCGCTAGCTGACTTAGGGCTCCCGCCCACACTGCGCATGGCCTTGCTTAGGGCCGGCTAGTGGTGGGAGGCTTAGCGTTCACCTGAGCGTTTCCGTCCCCTCTAGATGGGGGATGAGAGGCGAAGCTGATGAATCACAGCAGTCCTGGACCCTGACTTCGGACCTGGGGAAGAAACGCCGAGGAGGAACGGGAGTTAGGAGGCTAGCACCTTGGCGCGCTGGGAGCCGGCCACCCCGGGCTTCTGGACTTCACTTCCCAGGAGGCCTCGCGCGCGACTGGAAGTGCTACGAGCCTATAAGAAGGCGAGCCGGCGCCAGCCCGCTGTAGGCATTCGGGGCAGTGTCTTCTGCATCTCCTAAGAACCTCGGGAGCTGCAGCTCCGGCGCCTGGTAGCGAGAGGCGGGTTCCGGAGATCCCGGCCCCACTTCGTCCCACTGTGGTTAGGGGTGAGAAAGATCCCGGGCTGGGAGTTCAGGGACCTGGGTTCGAATGCTGGCTCCGCTGCTATCTCGCTTCGCACTGTCGCGACCCCCTTGCTCGGCCTCAATTTTCTCTTTTAGAAAGTAGGCACCTTTCTCCGCGCTCTTCCTTCCAACGTGGTGGTTATAAAGGCACAAAAGCTCTTCAGAGGGCGCAGAAAGCAGCTTGAGCTCCTCGCCCCAATTTTCACCCATTGTTAGCTGGCACGAGCACCCAGCAGAGGAGTCAGGGATCACCCCTCGGGCGCCTGGAACGGTTCTTTGGTCACCTGAGCCGGACCTAGGCACAGGCTGAAGTCCGGGTCTGCAATTATTCCAGTGCTAAGGGGTAACTTGTTCACCTACCTCCTTGGCTGGAATATTGAGCCCCTCACTCCTGATGTTCCGCCTTTGACAGAAGCTACCGTTGAGAATAAGGAATCCTCAGAGCTGAGAGGGAGTGGACCCGAATTCCTGTACCAGCCCTGCCACTTACCTTGGCAAAGTCATTTTCTCGTTTTGGGCCCCAGTGTCACAGTGTTTTTGATTTGTAAGATGAGGGTTTAGGACTTATATCCTAAGTCTGGTCCTCAAGATTCTTGAAGTACCCCAGTCCATCGGGGAAGGAGAGCAGCAAACTGATTCTCTACCCCTTCATTTATTTGTGGTTCTAAATTATAAAAGTAACACTGCAAGAGTTTGGAGTAGAGCCTTTTTCTTTCTTTTTTTCTGAGATGGAATCTCACTCTGTCGCCCAGGCTGGAATGCGGTGGCATGATCTCGGCTCACTGCAACCTCTGCCTCCCGGGTTCAAGCGATTCCCCTGCCTCAGCCTCCTAAATAGCTGGAATTACAGGCGCCCGCTACCGCGTCCGGCTAATTTTTGTATTTTTAGTAGAGATGGGGTTTCCCCGTGTTGGCCAGGCTGGTCTTGAACTCCTGACCTTATGTGATCTGCCTGCCTGGGCCTCCCAAAGTGCTGGAATTACAGGCGTGAGCCACCGCACCCACCCTGAGTAGATCCTTTTTCAAAGATTAAGGGCTGGATGGGAACTAACATTTCTTTTTTTTTCTTTTTCTTTTTTTTTTTTTGAGACAGAGTCTGGCTCTGTTGCCCAGGCTGGAGTGCAGTGGCTCAATCTCGGCTCACTGCAAGCTCCGTCTCCCAGGTTCACACCGTTCTCCTGCCTCAGCCCCCCAAGTATATGGAACTACTGGCACCCGCCACCATGCCAGGCTAATTTTTTGTATTTTTAGTAGAGACGGGGTTTCACCATGTCAGCCAGGATGGTCTCGATCTCCTGACCTCGTGATCTGCCCGCCTCAGCCTCCCACAGTGCTGGGATTACAGGCGTGGAGCCACTGCGCCCGGCCGGGAACTACCTTTTCTTACCCCTGGACCTGACCTGTTTTAGCTCAGCCGGGAGAATCCTTTTTCGCAAGAAATTAATAATATTTTGTGACGTGAAAATTATGTGAAACTCAGACTTCAGAGTCCATAAATAAATATTACTGGAACACAGCCGTGGTGCTCATTTGTTAAGATGTTTATGTGGCTGCTCTTGCACGGGCAGAGTTGATGACATAGTTGTGACAGAGACCATGTGCTCTACAAAGCCTAGAATATTTACTACCTGAACCTTTACAGAAGAGCTTGCTGACTGCTGCCTTAGAATGGGGCTCTGCAAAGTGAGGGCACAACAGGAGGCCGAACCATGGTGAGCACACCCTGGGATCACAGCCCAGCCTGCCCTCTTAGAACAAATGAGAGGATATTTTCAAGCATTTGCGTTGCAATTTTCACTGGTTTCCTTTGTTTTTGAGACAGGCTAGCTCTGTCGCCCAGGCTAGAGTGCAGTGGTGTAATCTCAGCTCACTTCAGCCTTCTCCTGGGCTCAAGCCATCCTCCCACCTCAGCCTCCTGAGTAGCTGAGACTACAGGCGCATGCCACCACACCCAGCTTTTTTTTTTTTTTTTTTTTTTTTTTTTTTGTGGAGATGAGGGCTCACTGTTGCTCGGGCTGGTCTGGAACTTCTGGGTATTTATTTATAGATAGAGTCTACCTCTGTTGCACAGGCTGCAGTGCAGTGGCGTGATCTTGGCTCACTACAACCTCTGCCTCCTGGGTTCAAGCAATTCTCGTGCCTCAGCTTCCTGAGTACCTTGGATTACAGGCTCATGCCACTGTGCCTGGCTAATTTTTGTATTTTTAGTAGCGACGGGGTTTCATCATGTTGGCCAGGCTGGTCTCGAACTCCTGACTTCAGGTAATCTACCTGCCTTGGCCTCCCAAAGTGCTGGGATTGCAGGCATGAATCACTGCTGGTCCTTCACTGCATTCTTCCTTTTCTCCTGTTTTGCTCTATTTCAGGAAGTAGGAGGGCTTATCTGTGTATTGTGAGCAGGGCAATATAACTCTGCAGCTCTCTGTCAGGAAAGTGTGCCCAGGGTCTATTCTAAGTCTGTCACAGAGCAGTAAACCAGGACCTCTTCTAGGGTATGGCTTCAGATCCTTTTGGACTACATTTATTTTTTACTTTTACAAAGGAAAAAAAAAAAA